GTGCCTCCTGTGGGTGTCCTCCCTCCATTCACTTCTCTTGTCAGTTAAATGCAAGCAACTTTTTTTCCCCCCCCATCAGCTCTGTTTTAATTTTCACTCACAATCTCCACAATCCAGTGACATCAGCTATAGACATCATACTGCCAAGGGGTTAATAACATGAAATTCTTCACTGTGTCAATAAAATGCAGGTTTTTCCCCTTATACAAACTGTTTCCCATGTGTGATGCAGCCACGCTTTCTAGGAACAAGGTTTGCCATTTTCATAGCAAACAATCGGCTAGTTAAATTTTTTATTCCTTTCCTCAAATGACTAAGCGATGATGCTCTTGACAAGGCCTAAAGCAGGGTTGTAAATGTGAAGACCAACATCTCTTGTAAACGGAACTCAACTACAAGATGAGAGGCCTCCAGTGAGCAACTAATGAAACCACTTGCAGTAATTCCCCATCACTATATTCACATCTTCAACAGCCATGAGAAAGACATAAAAGGCAGCTCTAGAAACTTGTTGTTATGCACTCTAGACAATCTTTTACTTGTCTTTAAAAAAGAGTCTGAGCTGTCAAATGAACAGCTGCAGGAGCAGCCATTTAATCATATTTACTATTGCACATAACTTGGGTTAAGGAGCGAGCAGCGCCTTTGAAGTGTTCTTCCACTGTGCTATTGCTTTAGTAGCCCTGGGGAACTGCTAAGAGAAAACACAGCCTGGCACAAAAAGCCATGGGGATGGACAGCTCCCACTCTGTTTTAGGCACTTTGCCTATGTATTGAAACAACTTTAATAACATGGCCTACATACAAGTACCATCTATAAAGGACTCTCCTCTTTGTTATTCTGCACATATATGTTAACATGTTAATTCAAACACTCCTTGCCTGGAACATCGTAGGTACTACTTTGTGGGGTGAAACCGTCATAACCAGCCCACAGCAGCTACCGTACCCACGCGGGTATCCCCCCTGCAGCAGGCAGGCTCTGAGCTCTCTGGAGACGCTCTATGGCGAGCACTACCTGTGCAGATTTGTAAACAACTCAAGTGACTAACCCTGTTCCCTAAAGCAGGCAGGGTGGCTGCCATCCTGCCTTCACAGACCAACAGAAGGGCCAGAAGAGCACTGCTACAATATAACCACCACAGGGCACAGGAAAGGCCCTTCCAACCTCCCACAGATGGGCTAGTGATGCATGTAAGGAGGAAATACTAACACTAGCCTGAAGATTATTTGTTTTTACTTGATCTATTTTTTTTCTTACCTTCTTCAAAGATCCCTAGAATATTCCCGAACATGTCTAAAGCCATTCACTTTGGAAAAAACCCTCCTCTTACGCATATACATTCTCTACACTGAAAGTATTGCAATAACATTAAGAAAGTTATTTCTACATATTAATGAAGTGGGATAATTATTTGTCTTTTTTTCAGCAAAAATATATAAAAATATTAATTGCCATGTCGAAAAAACACTGCTTTCCTGATAAGTTACCAAGGGAGTATAAAAGTCCAGAGTACTGGGGGGGAAAAAAAAACAAAATGAAAAAAACTCAAGCAATAGGAACTCAGAGGCTGTCAATTGTCAAAATAAGCATTTCATTCTGCACGGGAGAGAGAGGAGTTTATGCTGGACTGCTTTCTCTACTAAATCTACAAATTACTTGTCAGGTTTTTTTTTAAAAATTTTAATTATTTTAATTAAATAATAAATTATTTAAATTTTCTTCTTCAGTTACACCACTTCTAATGTGGATTTACTTGTCCCAATAACCTTTGTCCATATAGCTGCTGATCATCATCAATAATTTTTTGTTCTATTGACATTTCTCTCATTTTAGAGAAACCAGAAAAACTTGATGAAATACATAAGTATTATGCAGTCATGCCTCAGTCTGCTATTCCAGTGGCATAGTTCTGCACAGTGTTTCACTCACGTTTGGCTGGGCAGTACATGCTACCCGTCCTACACTGGTGACCACTAGACCGATCCATGAGTTTCACTCTGAGAAACTGAGTTTGATTAAGTTGATGCACTGTGAAAGTTATAGATAAAATTCTATGCATTCATAAGGTAGCAAGCCTATACAATTAATATTTGTAAGTAAAATACTCTGACCATCCAGAAACAAGTGGTTCCCATCTGACCAGCAACAAATTTAAAAATATGACCTTCATATGGACAGTCTGAATTTACATATAAATGATGGCACACAAGATCAAATAAATTCAACAGTTATATAAATTTATACTGATATATACCAGAGATGGAAGGAAAAGGAAATATTTCAAAACAAATATGTATAGTAACCCTCCTGTCGGACACTATCTTTTAGTTTACTCAACAGCTACTGGAGCTTTAACCTGGCTTTTGCCTTAAGTTTTGCAATATAAGGTGGTGAGCTAGCCAACAGGAGGATGGAAAGATAACACTGAGGAAGACCTAAATACTCCGCACGTGAATTAGCAGCAAAGATATTTTCTTGAGAAAAGAGAGATGTGGGCAGAGAGAGCAGTTAAGCACCTTTAAAGCCCTGGCAATCTGAAGGACTAGAGGAAGTGGAATAGTGGCAAGGCCCACCCATGAGCCACTTAATTCACATGACCCACAATGACCTACTGACCATGACCAGCACATATGGAGGAAGCTAGTTCTTTAGGTGCTTACCCCCATGACCTCCCAGGTTTTTTGCTGAAGATTAAATGGGCTGGCAAACACTGGAAATTAGTGTAAAACCCATTACCCAGAGCAGAGTGAAACACCTACCCAGCATCACTTGTGACTACAGCAAGGGAAAAAGGCTACTGCTACCAGCTGTATGCATGCTTAGTTCACTGCTGTTCAGGAGGAAGCTTTCCGTTTCCAGGTCTGACACTGCCTCGGCTCCCTGACTCATGCCACAGTGGACATGCAGTGATGCCACAGCAGTTCTCACATGTCCCTCTGCCATTAGTTAGTAACAGTTCCTCTTGCCAAACACGCCCGCTGCAACATTTGCTCCCAACACAAGTTTTGGGAACTACGGCTAAGGTTTTCGGCAGCAATCATCAGCTTTCTTGGTCTGTTTTTTTGCATATCTGTTCTATCTTACACAGCTTTTAGCTCATAAGGACTTTTCTTAGTCTGTGACTCAGCAGCTATTTTTTAGAAAACCTCCTAGCACTAAAAAAAGCTGAAGTTCTCTAGACAGCATCCTTTAACAGAACATGTTTGCTATAAGTTTATTTTGAGCTAAACATTTTATTTGGAAAACAATTTGTATCACTCCTGTTCATAAAAGTAGTCTTCAAGATAAGGGAAGAATCAGAACATACACCAGTTTTTTTCTATGAATGTCTTAAATTAAAAAAATTAAAATAGACCCAAAAGTCTAGATTTTACCAGGAATCTAAATGAAACAGATATGAATGTATGCATCTATTATTGTTGATTGTTTCAAACTATGGAACCTTGTTTCTAAGATATCCAAACTGAAATAAAATATTCACTGTGTTCTTTCTCAGAATTGCTCATGGTTCATTTATTTTAGGGGAGAGAAAAAAAATCAATAAGCATCATAGATGGCAATTTATAAAGTGATTTGATGTAATACCTTGTAGGAAAGAATGGGCTCATAATCTTGAATTGTAGCTATCAGGTTTTGTAATAGAGACCACATTAAATCTATATGAAACTTGAGTGCATATGACTTCAGTTGAAAATATAAGAATTAAATAGAAGGTAATTATTTCTGTACAGAACTATTATACACAACACAACCTGGTGAGATATGGAAAAACAAGTTGCATACGAAAAAAATCAGGTAGAGAGAACATAGAGCCAGGAATCTATCTGGAAGCAACTTGGTAAACTAAGGGATAATAGAAACGAGGTTTCTATTATAAGCCAAATTCGGGGTAGTCCTTTAATTCAGGAAGAAAAAAAGGCCCATAAAACTGGCTTTAATCCAGAGAAAAGGTGGAAAACAGAAAAGACAATAAGCATGTTTGTTCCAGGAACACCAGCAGGCGTAATCAAAAATCATTAGTCCTATAAACAAAAATGGAAAGCAATCAAAGTACATAAATTTTTCCCCAGTTGGTTTTATATTACAGAAATGAGAAACAAGTCCCTCCTTCCACCATATAGGAGAATTATTAATTGGCTTATGTTACTATATCCAGATCATTTGCAGAATAAACTGGGACAAATTTTATATGACAATGCTTTCATATAAAAAAATTATTTTCCCCTCCCATTGCTAGATCATGATTTCAAGATAAGAGTAGCCAGTTTGCTCACAATTCTTAAAGTGCAAGATGCACCATATTGGTATAAAGCTGACAAAAAACCCAACAACCCTGGAAGCTACCAAACTCTTTTTCTACTCAAAAACCAAAGCTGACTTTATAAACATACGACATCTGCAGCTGCAAAGGGCGCAGTTGAAACCAGCTGGGAAAGGCAGTAAGCTGCTATGAAAAAGGGCTCCCACCAGCCACCTCCCAAGGGCTCCCTGCCAGCATGTCCCCAACCCTGGCAGCTGCAGGGCAGCGCTAACATCTGCCTCCTACCCCAGCACCCACCACTGCTCAGTGGTGCACCACTCAGCCACTGGCAGCGCTGAGGCTTAGAAACATTTTGTGCCCGTGCAGACTGCAGCATGAGTCTGTCAGCCCTTCAGACCCAATCAAGGAAAAAAAACCACCATCTCAGAAGGAGGGCCTCAAAGAGCTTTAGGAGAAGGAAAACATTGGGGGAACACAAGTATTAGCAACTGACTAATAAAAACATGGAAATAATCAAATATATTTGTTCTCTTCTGAGAGTAGAAAGGTTTTAAAATATGCTTACATTTCAGATTGGTTTAACACAGCATCTACCAGCAATGATGCCACAGCCCCATTTATAGTACAGAGATGCAAAGCAATGCGAACAGTTAATGAAAGATTGGCAAGAACTTGCTCCCCACACACAAAAACAGCATACATATGTTTTTCCTTTACCAAACAAAACAAACTTACCATCTTCAGAAGGCTCACAAGCAGGTCTTAAAGACAGAAAATCCTTCCAGTTCTAGTCTTCAAAACTTGCAGTTTTCATGTGGACCAAAACAGGCAAGACGCAGCCGAGAGAAAGATAACTCATGCCTTGCATTTTGAATCACATCTAACATAAGGACGATCTAGAATCAGGAAAAAAATATAGTTATAAAATGGGGCAGAGCTCTAAAGATTCACAGAAACAAGTTCAACTTTAGTATTTTACCTATCTTAAGAACAAATATTTCTTCAAACTGTGGTATAAAACTTAATTGCTAGAAGCTTCTCATTTTTACTAGCTCATCAAAAGACCTATTCATATGACAAGTCAATCAGCTTCCTTGACTGATGCAGTCTGCAGCTCAAAGCCAGGGAGAATTAAAGCAAGTGGAATCATTCCCTCTTGGTTAGGTGATAACAGTTTCAACTACCTCATCAAGAAATTTCAGCTACCCCAACGCTTTCCAGCTTATAAACCACTCCTAATTTTTAGCCATGTTAACCTTCTGAGATTTTTTCACTTATAGCTTAATCATTGGAAGAAAGTCCATGATGCCAAGATGTAGCTGCACCTGGGAAAAATTCTTACAACATTTCAAGAAGTGCTTTACATTACCAACAAACTAATGCACTACAGAAAAAAATTAAGTATGTGCTACTGTTATTTCTGCAAAGAATACAAGGAAAAGGTTTATTCTACTAGAGAACAGAAGGAGGAAAAAAGTAAATTAATGACCTAACACATAGGACTATACAAACAGAATTGCAAGCATTGTATGCAACTCAAAACTCAAATGAGAAATTTGAGCTGAACACAGCATCTAGGATACAAACTTGAGTGAAAAATATAGCGACTATGTCCCATAATGTTCTAGAAAGGAGCTAACAAAGAGGGTTTGGATAGAATTTAGAGTTTAAACGTTCTCCTTCAGGCATCTTGTACTGAACATGAAGGACACATGTCAGAACAACTGGTCCTCCAATCTTAATGTGCTATAAGGGAATTGCAAGTAAGTTTTACAGTCAGTTCTGCTCTATTAGAGTTATGTTTCATCCATAGAACTGCCTGTTTTTTGCTTTCTTTTTCATCATTTCAGAAAGATACATGTTGTGGAATAATTACCAACTCATATTCACACCCAAGATTACTCTACCCTAGCCCAAAATCTATTTCCCCAAGAAGATATTCTTCTTCATAAAAAGAATTATTTTTTAGATATTACTTAGGGAATGCAACATACTGTGCACATTGATAAACTGGAAGACATTATGGAATTTTATATCCATAATACCTGGTGGTACTGTAATAATAATGTTACAGTATAATAATCCTTCTTGATAATATATTTATTTTCATAGTCACTTGCTCCATAGTTCAGCAAATGATCTGGGTATCATTTGCAATATTATCTGGCCTGTTAAGCAGATGTAATATTAAGCACTGCAGGAGGCTGCCAAATTGGCAATCAAGATGAGTAAATCTCATAATGGAAATTAATTCTCTGGAAGTATATTAATTTGTATTAAACGCCAGTGTGAATATAGCGTATCATAGTATGAAAACACATATAATGCAAAGAATGAATACATAAAACTCCTCCTTCCTTCCTTTTTCTCTCTCAAATCCTTCCTGGGTAGGGATTAAAAAAGAAAGCTGGAGTAGATGCCAAAGATGGTAATTTTTTATATCAGCTTTGTATCTTTCTCTCTAGTTTTGCCATAGCAACTATGCTAAATTTTCCTCATTCGGCATCATTAGCTTGAGGATTTGGCTGTAGAGAAAAAGAAGTTGTGTTTTGGGATTTATTTAATTGCAGGGGGAAGAGGAAGGCGGCCTCTGATTCATCCTAAAATTGGAATCTGCAATGAAAGTCCTATTACAACCACCTCTGGGCTGGGCTGACATCCAAATTGCCTACGTTCCAGTGCCCTGGAGCATTGGGTGCATTTCTACAATTAGCCTACCTAGACATGGGCTAGAGGATTACGCTCATCCTTCCATCAAGGCAAACGCACCCAACACAGGCAGAAACAAACCCTATTCCTGGTGGGGTCTTCAAAAGGGGAGAAATTTTAGGGACCGGGCAGATAGGACACACACTTGCCACATGATGAGGGCAGAAGAAGGTTATCCTGTGTTTAGGACCCCTTTTCCCTCTGGCAAAGGCTGTATTTTGTCACAGCAACCGTACCAGCCAAAGGCTTTCAGGGCACAGCAGAGCATACCACCTGCAATGCTCAGTGCCACCTACAATTTAAACCTGGTAATTAAACTACATATAGGCTGCAATCCAATTCTACTCTTTTCTGCCCTGGTTAGGAACTGAAAGTGAGGGCAGCTTAGTCTTAACTTATAGCTAAATTCCAGTGTTTTCAATAAATGTTGTCCACAAATATTTTAAGCATAATGTGCCAAGCATCTTATATAGATTAAAAACAGCTATTCTTCATTCATCCAAAAAAACAGAAAGATTATTTGTTAAAGGATGTTTAAAAGAGAACATCACATTAATTGAATCAAACAGAAACCTCACATTTAACTCAAAATAGTCATGAACTCTGAAAACACCAATAACATTAGGTGCAGCTTTAAACTACTCAATAATAATTATGCTGGTTTTAGAGAGCTGTATTTGAGAGGAAAGCTACATACAAAACTATAAGATTACTCCATCTACACAAATGGCTTCTACGCTTCTGTCAATGTCATGCATCAGTGTGCATAACCATATAAGTTGGATAAGGAATTATAGTCCTGGTACCACAAGATAAAACCAACTTGTTAGCTATCTATCAGTAATCACACATTTATCTCAAATGACCCATTTCACATTCTCACTTTCCCCTACATTTCCATTAATGACTAGCATGCTCACTAAAAAAAATGGAGCTGCAACTTCTTGCAAGAGCAAGAATTGCCCAAAAACATAGCTTGTTTACATGAAGCATGCCATTGTTTTTCAGATGAAAAAATCCGTTGCAAAAATGCCAGTCATTTCATACACTTGCAAGATAGAACTTCATAACCTCTCACTTTCAAATCACCTTTTTAATGTCAAATTTAACTTTTAAAAATTTTAAGGGGTTAAAAAGAATTCTTTTCAATCAGGTATATCTAAAATTTTTCCTCAAGTGATATTACTCATTTTAAAACTGCCTCTAAAAAACTGTTTCAGATTGAGCCTTTTCCCTCTAATTACTTCTCATTTTCTTTTTTTTCTAGAAAAGAATCCATTGTTTTCCCAGTTATATTCTACTTACTGTTTTTATAGTATTCCTCAGGAACCGAATACAGAACAAAACACTGATTACTGTTTGCAGTACACTGAAGAGTTTACTACTGTTTGTTAAGTTAGCAGACCTCAGATTGTTCCCCGGATCACTACTGGACTGGGGAGGCCAGTGCCCTAACAGTGGTAACTGTGCTGTGTGCTAGGCAGCCTCAGTAGCAATCCTTCTCAAAGGCATAAACAATGTCCAATTGTGAACACAATTAGAGTCAAAAGGTAGTGTAATACACACCAAATCAAAGATTCTCCATTGAAGTTGGCTGTATTATTCCTGCTATTTAATCTGTTTGGCAAGTTTTGCCAATGTCCACAGACATTGAAATTCTGCAGAAAGTGATGAATACATATGCCATATATGCTTGAAGTATTTTGACTTGTGATTTGATCCACCTGTCATGCCCAGCTGATAATGCTGATGGGCACACTAAATGATTGCAACAACAATACTAATCACATTTCCCCCTCTCCATACCTGTTTTACCTTTTTAGGTTATTTGCTGTACCACATCACCTGTCTTTGAAAAACATCTGGTTTAAACCAAAGACCTCCCATTTCATCTTGCATGTTTCCAGCAGGAAACATTAACTTTCTTCCTTTTCATTGTAGGATACTGACTGATTAGCTGCACCTTGGAGAACAATAAGGCTAGGAATGAATTTGAAATACTACTTTTATGGTTAACATGTGTTGACACTACTTTAGGTTTGGACAATGAATCTTCATGTTTTAATCTACTGCCACCAACTTGTAAGCTAACTCTCCTACATGCAGGACTTTATAGCAAAGTGTATAAATCCTTTGTTAATTAAATATCTATAAAGAAAAATATCCTTTAAACAATATTTAGCAAAAAGTAACACAGCAAGATATAATTTAAACGTGGAGCATTCCAGGACAAAATATTTTACTTTAAAGAAAGTCAAGCTTCATGGTGATACCAAGCACAGGATCAGGGATTTGCATAAAAATCTTGGAAAAGGATTGGCTCAAAGGAAGTGTGGTTTCTCCTCTTTTTACTTTTCTTGGTTCTCCCTTTCTGTGTTGCTTTATGCAATTCTTTAATCTCAGCTTTAAAACCGTGTATTCTTTGTACCTTACACACATAACAATGATACTCAGTTAACTTAGTTCTTATTTCCAGTCTTCTTCTACCCAAACTATTTATTAGATGCCACTCCCAGATTCAATTATTCATTAAAAAGTTAGCAGAAAACCTAAAACTCCCTCAGACCTGAATTCCACTGTCTAATCCAGCTGTTCCTCACAAGTATTTTGGCCATTAATCATCATACAAAGCATGTTTCCACTCCCTCTAGCCAAAGTGATTCTGTAGCACCATCTAGTGAGATGACATCACCCTCCATGAGGGAATTTTCCACTCCTGATTAATATTGATTGCCATTTCCAGTTTTGGGAAAGGTATCAGGTTGCAAGATTTTGATCCGAAGGCAAACAACTAGTTCATGACATACACTGACACAAGCTTTCAGAACAACCCTTTTTGGAAAGGCAGCTCCACAGGTGATACCAGCCCGTGACCTATCTGCTGCACTCAGAGGAAAGGTCTGTTGCCCACTGCAGCGACAGAGGAGCCCTCAACTCCTTCCTTTCCCTCCCCATGATGCGTGTTCAGGGGACACAGCAGCACCTTCACATTCCTCCGCAGGCCACCAAAGCTGCAGCCCTCTCCTATCACAGGATGCAGCAATGGATGGCATCACAGGGGAAGGCCACGGAGGAGCCTCCCCAGCACCTCATGCAACAGGCACTTGTGCTCTTGCCTCACCTGCCTGGTCACAAAAAGGTGCCTTTCTACAGGAATCCGGAAGGTTGGGACTGCTTCCTGTGCTGA